TGGTCTTCCTCCTTCCGAATTGGGTGATCTTGCCGCCACAGCGCGGTGTGTCCCGCCTCATGCAAATCTCACTCCTGCCACCACAGTTCCCACCACTATTGCTGTTGCAGCAGTACCATTATGTTATCTTCATGTTGGTGCTGACCGTCCTCTTTGAACAATCTTCATCGTGGTCGTCGTCATCGTGGTCGTGCTGGTGACATCGGGCTGAGCATCGTGCGTTGTCTTGCCGTCTTGCACTTGAACGGCTTTGACTTTGTCAACATACTGTTGGAAGCGCACAGACGCAACACACCCATGAGAGACCTTGGCTCCACTGCTTTTTGATCCTGCGGCGGGGTTCGCTGCTTGGATCTGCTACTCGGCGGACTCCACGAAGCACCAGCACCTGTCGAGCAAACAGCACGAAGCAAAAGACCAACGTTCTTCGACGGGAATGGAGCCTTTTTGAGGTGCGGTGCCACTCCTCACCAGTGCAGGTGCCTGGCGGCAGCGTCTCAGCCCTGCACCAAGCCTTCAAGAGCTCTTGCTCTCTGCGAGCCTCCGGAGGTTTCCTCGGGAGCGAAGAGCAGAGCAGCGTGAGCTCTGAAGAGCCACACAGAGTGCCGAGGACCGGACCCGGTGAGGATGGCGGTGAACTTCCGCTTCACGGGGCCCAGATCCTTGCCAACCTCTCACAAGGTGCGTTTCTCACGTCACCACGGCAGACCCGCAAAATGCTCACAGTTGCTTTAGGCTTTGCCTCCCGGACAAAGCATCTCTTCGTGTCGACCTATCCCGGAGCAGACATCTGGCAAGCAAGGCCGCAAAGGCGGAGGAGGGGGCGGGGGGAGCTTCTGGCCTCCAGCAAGAAGCGCGCATTGCGTGGTGCCGCGTACATCATGGGTCCCACAGGCGCCTTGAAACATCCAAGGTATGGAAACACCACTTCTGCAAGCTGAAGTAAGTGTCCGGCTGGTGCGATGCATGAGTACTTTTCCTCCTGTGGTTTTCAACTCGCACAAACATTATCATGGCAAACGAACTACTTGTAAGGCCTCCTTTCCCAGATCGACACCAATCTCTTCAACCTGCAACTGCATCTCAGAATCTTTGCACAGCTCTTTACACGGCTCTCTGCCAGGCACAGAGATGCGTGCAGTCAGGACATCATTCTCACCTCGTGATCCTCGGGGATGATGAGGAGGACACGGTGTGCCTTCCAGCGCTCAATGCTCAGCTCAGACTTCCACGCCGCAAGCGCAAGCGCGGCACGCAAGCGCGGGCCTCCAGTGGAGCGCAGTAGATTTTGTCATCAGGTCCCAGTGCGGCGCAGGCATACTTCGCCTTCCCACATCTTGGGGCTTTCTTTGTTTTGTGTAGATTCAAGACTATTCCAATTCCGGAGTGAAGCCTCTCCATTGCCGATTGCAGGACCGATGAGGCGATTGCCCTTGGATGCTCCAGACTCAAAGACCATACGGCTTGTCTGCCTTGTCAACAAATCCGCGAACTCTGCGATTGGACCAGCTACTTTGCCAGATGTGCTGATCTCCAGCACCTGGTCTGCGTACAGTGGCGGTGCCTGACAATGACAAACCTACCTGGAAGGGCCTCACCGGAGTCGCGCACAGCACAGCCACAGCCAACAGAAGTGTCTCCCAGGCAGCGACATACAGCAGACGATTGGCACCCTGGCACATACCTGCGAGCGACACTGCGAGCAAAAGCTTAACACTTGAGGGGTCGAGTTCTCGGGACACTGCAGCAATACTTGCGGGGTCCGACTCCAAGATCTGGTGGCACGAGGCCTCTTGTGATGCTCGTCCAAAAGTATTGATGCACCCCAGGAAATTATACTCTATCTGAGAGTCTGAGAGTTGGGCTCACGTTCCCCGTGCCGTCAATGCGCAAGATCTGCATTGCCAGCACGACAACCGCATGCCAGGCGGCTTTGTGACGGGACTGCCGTGATGCCTTGCGCGCATTGTAGGGAGGTGCGAAAATGCTGCCGTCGCCGGCTACGATAGCGGAGCAATACTTGCCTCGCAGGTCACCGGAGGCACCACGACACGAAACTGGGAGCAAACAGCTGCAATTGTTTGTCTGTCTTGGGATGAGCACCGGGTGTGGGCCCCAAGTCTGGTCCGACCTGATGAGCGGGCTGCCGTGGACAGCCGCAGACTGAACAACGTCATCATCCCTGCGACTTTCCCTGAATGGACAAACGCATTCTATTTGGGCGACCAAGGGAAAGCGAAAGGCGGCGGCGGCGCTACCGTGCGCGACGCCATGCTTCCATGCAGGAGGAGGTTGCACATGTGTACTGTACATAGACACCACCCACCCACCCACGCTCCCATGCTCGCACCCATCCGCGCATCCTTGCACTCCGGCACGCACATGCGTGAACACAGATTTGGTGGCTACCTGCTGTGCTTCAAGTGAACAACTTTGACACGCGGGGCTATCCGGCCGCTGAAGTTTTGCCACTGTTGTGCACCTTGCAGGCCCATCTTTCACCTGTAAACCTTTCCTGCTCTGCTAAGCTGTCCTCGGGGGGAAAAAAACCCAGGCTATCGCTGCTTGTGCCGTGACTGCTACTGCCTTGCGAGTTGCACCACCACGGACAGGATCGATCTCCATCACCTCCAAACGGCCGAGTCACTCAGCAACTTGCAGCGCCACAAAAAACCGAGGAGTTGGCATGACGGGCATCCCACGGGATGGCGTAGATCTTGAGAGTCTCAGCATGCAGCTGCAGCAACTTCCGTAGCTCCTCACACTGAGCTGAGCCGGCGACGATGGGGGAAGCAATCGTTACCCACCACTCGCCCTCTGTGTACGTGGCGGCAAGGCACAGTGTGAGCATGTTCTTTCCTCTGGATGCAACAGCTGCCTGCTCAGATTTTACTAGGCGTGGGCCGACTTCGCCGACAGTACCTCGCCCAGGCACGAAATCACTTGACGCGAGCATGTGCGAGGCCTGCACTTAGCGCAAGGACGTATCGTCTTTCGGCCGGCCTGTGTAAGGATCAATCTGGAGAACCTGGGGGCAGATGTCTGAAACGCATGCTTCCTAACCAACGCGTCTGGCGTTACACAAAGTTCAGATCGTCGGACAGACCAGCGAAGCTACAAGCTCGGGATTGCACCCTCTGGGCAAGAAAAGGTGCTGCGTAGATTCGGCCGTTCCAGTCATAAGAACTGGCCTCAGGCACTTGCTGGAGGCTCTTCCCACACGTCGAATGCTCGTAAGGGCTGTGCAGCTGTTGCGTACTTGGTCACCAAGTCCGAACTTACCTTCTCACCCACCTGCAAAAACAGGATGCTCTAGGTGCGGCGGTCATGCACCTTTGACTGCCTTACTTCTTCTGTCTCGTCTCTCACCCGTAGCCATGTGTGAACATGAATTTTTGAAGTCAGCTCCTATAGACGTCACCGCCTCAGTGATTGTGTCTTCGTCAATGTTCACGAGCAGCACATGTGCAGCATCATACGGGACCTGGCAATGTGCAACCTACCGAATACGTACCGCCTGTGCAAGAGCGACAGCGACAGTCAGCAAACAACTTTTCGCAGGATTTGTGCAGGCAGCTCTTGCGCTCTTCAAGCGTCTCAGGCAACGGCGCAGTAGAACTCGCCAGGTGTCACCAGCGACCTGCATATGCTGATGTACTTGCAGCCCACCTGTCCAGGCACTGACAAGGCCACGAAATCAGGTTGTGGACATGAGATCCCTGCCTTGCCGAAATTGGGCCCAACCCAGTCCCAGCGCACTTGACGGCTTCCTTCTCGCACCTCTGAGAATCTGGGGGTCGAAGTCCTGCCTAAAGTCTGCAGCACTGTGGTCGCGTTGCCAGTCCCCGCCTGGATTTCGACACACTGCTCTGCATTTCGGGGGATGCAGTATAGCCTCACAGCAACTCCGAACCTGTACATCGAAAAATCAATAGACCTGCCGGTATCGACGAAGCAAGGAATGTAAGCTCATGTGATTCCGTGTCCCAGGCTTGCAGATCGCCCCGGCACCTGCAATCATCCGGCTAGGGTTTGTGGCAAGTAAGAGCGTGCTGACAGCCAGTTGCCCATGCTTGCCGGCGACACCTTCGGCCAGCTTCTCTTCCCGGGCTGACGAGAAGCACGCGACGGGATGGCTCACGATTCTCGTCTGCAATCCAGGAGCCTGCCAGCTGTTCCTTGACTGCCTGATGCTCCGCATACTTCTTGGGCAGCAGCTGGGCCTCAAAACACAGGCGCTGATACATAGACGCGCTACATCTTGCATCCTTCCGCCATCCCTTCCGCCTCTTGCTCCTCCTCCAACTGCTCCATGATTGAACCTATGCAGTTCGAGTGACTACATGCCAAGGACACGACATGTCCACATCAGCTTGTGCTGCGTGTGGAGCCAGCTGCGCTTCATGAACCATCTGGCTTACATCTCGCTGATTAGTGACATTAGTGTGCGAAGACAACTCAAGGATGCCGTGGGCTCACGGATGGAAGCTCTTGTAACTCCCACGTGGAGTGACGCTGTCTGCACCCGCTCGCGCCACGGGCAGTCATTTGCTTCTTGACGAGCTTCGAATGATTCTCGCATTAAGCACTAAAGAGGCGTGAGTGTGAATGTGCAGGCCTTTGAAGTGGATGCGGCAGGAACAGCTACTTTGAGATGTGCAAAGCAGTCTTTGCAACGCCGTTTTCTCAGCAACTTAGGAAACTCTGCCTGTGTCGTTGGTTCGGTTGCACTGCCGGTTGCCTGGACGCACAGAAAATTTCAACCGCCGTTGTGAAAGACAATATCTGCGCGAGGAGCTTGCGCACTTGGTCGAGGCAACCGTGCCGGAGAATCAAATTCTGCAAGCAGCCGGGACTGCATGCCAAATGCAGGGTGCACAGGCTGCTGGGATAATTAGCTGAAGTAGAAGGGGGCAGGCTTACCACAACTTGGAAAATTCATCAAAGCCTTTTCGCTTTGGGAATGGAAAATATGGTTTTCCGGCTCCTCCTCACTTCTGTCACTTGTTTGCCCCGCGGGCGAAGGAGAGGTAGGCCGTCCAAACAAAGGAGACGACCTCGGCTCGGCTTTAAGGCGTTTTTAAGGCGCGCAGCTGGTGGGCCTTTGGGACTCGGGCATGCCGCACCGGGAGCCGCAACCACAAAGGCACAGAGAAGCAAACGAGATCTGCGGGGCCCCAAACTCGGAAGACGTCGAAGACATCCTGCGAGCCAAAACCATGTGTGAAGGAGACATCCTGCATGCTTACTGCTTGTCCTTGTTCCAGTTTCGGGTGTAGCTTCCTCAGGCGAGTTTTTTTCGGAAGCGAAGGGGGGCAGGCTGAGACTGTGAAACCAAGTCTCCGATGCCGCCCTTCACCCACTCGCTTGCATCCCAAGCGGTGCTGAAGACTCCAGCTTTGAAGACGTAGAAGGTGGGCAAGTACACGAAGGTCCTGAGGCCAAGGGCCAAGGACCGACACCGCGACGCCGCTGCCGCTCGGTGCTAGGAACCCCCGCAGCATTCCAAGGTCCAGAGCCTCGAAAAGCAAAGAGAAAGCGCTTCTTTCTAAAAAGAGCGCCCCCCCACGCGGAGCCGCCAGGCCGAGGCCCCGCCCACAGGCCGCCGAGGCCCCGGGCGGTCTGCGCAGCGAGCGCCAGGAGCCCCGGGCCGTCGCGGAGCTTCGCCGCCCAAGGCTGCTCGGTGAATTTCTCCTTGGGTGGCTCTGCCCTCCCCCTCCCCCGAGGGTTCTTTGCAGCTGAGCAGCGACTCCGGTGAACATCCGCTTGAAAACATTGACCTCTTTAGGGAGACTACACAGCTTCTCAAAGGCATCGCTCGGAAAGAGCAAATGCTTAGCTGTGGACCTGATACCAATACCTCGGCCAAGTGCTGCTAAGCAAACGGTCAGCGAGTTGCAGCAAGCATCCTTATAGAAAGCAGAGGCATGTACTTCAAACTTGTGTCCTCTTTCTCTTCGCTCACTTCGGTCGGTCCGAGCAAATTGGTCCAAGCGGCTGAAAGGCTCCCAAATAGACAGCACCGAACAAGCAGAAGACCTTAAACAGTGAGATGTCTGGTGCCTCTTCAACTCAGGGCAGTGAAAGGTTGCATCAAGGGGTTGTGCTCGCGTGGACAAGTTTTGACATCTAGAAGCCCTGTGCGATGAGGTTTCGAGTCTGGGAATCTGAGTGGGCTCTTGGCAAGCCAAGCCGCCATGTTGCGTTTCCAGTCAACTTCATTCAAAGGCTTCTGCTCGATCACACACTGGGCCACCAAATCGGCAGCTGAAGTCTTCATTGTAGCAATAAGCAAGTTGTTCCTGAGAGCTTCGGTAAGGCCATGGTCGTGTCACAAGGCTTCACTGCCAAGGTGCGTGAAGGGAAAAGACTTGGCAAATGCTACATAGGACCAGCGTGCCTCTCCTGCCTGCAGATTACATACGTTGCTTGGAAATGCGGTGAACTGCCAACCACCCGCTCCTCGGCTGCCTCTGTGGCTTTGTAGCGAAAGGTGTCACAGCTTCGTCTGCAGCTGTTCCATTGCAGCCCTTGGGCGACACAAGCACTGACCAAACATCATACAACTGACATGCACGATGCACGACAACGCACGATGCAGTCAGGCGGCGGTTCGCGTTCCCCAAGCTGAAGGCTGCCGGCCGCGGAAAAGACCGTCGCGCGAGCAGGCGCGCTGCCTGCCTTGGCATTACCGAGACGCTTGAGGGCTGCTTTGCAGGTCTTGAAGCTTGAAATCGTGCTTGGCATGTAGAAAAGTTTTCTGAGGCCGCAGCATTGCTTCTAAAAAGCCCAGGCGAAGGCGAAAACTCTTTGAGCCCAGCTTTGCTTCGACGCGGTGGGAAAATCTGCTCTTGTTTGGCTGCCCATCTTTCACGCCTTTTTGAACAGGTTTTCACCTGATGAGAGGGCATCGTACAGCTGAACGCAGGGGTGAAACAGGGAACGGACAGCGAAGGAGGACCATCTCGACAAGGTATCATGCTGATGCAGCTCGAGCACATCTATCTGCAGACTCCGGCTCAGAGACGTGGGCAAAGATCTGATGTGCACACAGTCCATGTCAGTGGACCATGCCCCACCACTTCAGGTCCAGGTACTCGCAGTCCATGACGCTTCATTTGGACCACCAGTCCAGTCCAAGTCAAGAACATCAAGACTTAGGTTGCACAAGCTGCATAAGCATGGAAGCGGCGGAAGCAAAGCCATCCGCCTGAGCCGACGGCACAACGCAATCAGCCGCAGCACCCTCTTAGAGGCCCGCGCTCTCAACTCGGCAAGGAAAGATCGAAAGTGACCTTCGCAGTGGATCTCGCATGTCCACCAGCCGTTATAGTCATACGTCCTTGAGATGCCTTGAACCACGCAACGACTATCAATTTGAGTCTGGGTTGGGGAGGGTAAGCTGCAAGAGATTCGAACGAGGGCTTGCTTTAGGTTTCGGGCGAACATGGCGCAGCATGGGACCCTGCGTGTCGTTTCAGAACGATACGTATGCGTTTTTCAGAGATTACGATGTACATTGAAGACGCCTTGCAACACCAACAAATGAAGATGGAACATGAAAAAACAAACTCAACAAGAGCTCTTCCACTGCACCATGCCTGGAGAGCGAAGCTCCCTTCACCTGGGCACAGATTCGCGGGCGTTCCGAACATTTTGCGGATGCGGCTCTGGCCCTGAGGGAACGCCTCGCTTGCGCCGTCTGGCAGAGGAACCACCCTTTCCTGGGCAGCCAACGAACGCGTGCCATGATGAGGACTCCACTGCAAACGCAATGCTTCAAGCAGCGGCTGCCCGTTCCGAAGGGAGGTTGTGCTGTTTCTCTGGAATTCTGCCAGAATGCAATCCTTCCGGGAGGTCGTTGCTCAGCTCCGATGTACCCGACCAAGAGAAACGAAATGTGCTGGCTTTGCTGGCCTTTGTCATGCGTGCTGTGCCCCCTGCTCCTGCGACTACCGACTGCCGTCGACGATGACGGTCAAGCAAGCTAGTAACTGTGCAATCAATAGCCATGCATGGCCATGAAGGTTCCTTAAGCGCTCAATGCCCAACAAAGTACCCCCAAGCCTGAGTCCAAACAACCCAGGTAAGCTCCCGCCAAAAAATGAAGTCATCGAGTCCTGCACGGCCAGAAAGCCCCGAAGCCGGTTGAGGCCGGCACGGCCACGGCAAAGAACTTCCGGCGGGCTGTGTCGCCCGGTGGAAAGTCTATGGCGGGCCTCCAGAGAACGTGGAATCCTCGAGCCCTCTGGCTGAAGTTGGGAAGTTGGGATAGCGAGAGCCTTCGCCCCTCCGATTTGCGAACTTGTGGTTTGTGTTTGTAACAGGATGTGCTCTGCTTCCGCCCACAAGCCACCTTTGTGCTGAGTTCAAGGCGGCAAGTACGAGGTGCCCTGGACCGAGAAGAGCACCTTCGAGAATTCCACCTGCCAGACTCAGCGCGGTGCACGGCAGAGGAGTTTCGGTGCGAGGGGCTCACGAGCGCAACAATGGGAGTGGATAGAAAAGACCATGCGTCAAAGCCCAGCTGCCCGGAAAGTAGACATGAGTATATACTTCGCTCTCAACAAATCTGTGAACTGCAAGCAAGAACGAGGACTGTGGGTCTGTTGCTTATCTCCTCGAGAACCCAAATCTTCCACCGATTCAGTTCACGAGCTCCCATGTGCACGGAGCCGACGAGCAGACGCAGGGGCAAGCCGTGCGGTCCGAAACAATGCAAGCAAGTACAAGATCCTGTTTGCGCTGGCGGCCTCCAACAAGTCTGGGGCAGCCGCTTCCAAACTCACCGACCTCGCCAACTTTTGCTTCTCGAATCTTCGTCCAGGCTGCGCCGAGCGCGGAACACAGCATGCTCTGGACCAACGTAGGCTCCGATCTGCGCTGCCTGGCATGCGGAAGCATGAGCAGTCTTCTTCCCCAAATTGCATCTCCGAGAGCCTGTGGCACTTCGGACGAGCTTCGATCTTGGGCGGTGATGCCTGGGGCGACCACACTTTCCCGGTCCAAAAAAATGGCCGCCAACACTGAGGCTCTGAGGAGGCTGCTGGCTGAACGTGTGACCTTCCCTTCGGAGCCTCGCAGAGAACGGGAGGAGAGTCAAAGGCTCTGCTCCGCTTTGCTGGGGGCCCGGCCCTGGCCCAACTTCCCGCACCTCGCGGCCGCGGAGGCCTTGGCCTTCGCCTTGGCCTCGGCAGCGCGCCCGCGGCAGCGCGGCCGCGTGCGCGGCAGCGGCGGGCCGCACCTTGGAAGGCTCGTCCTTCGCGCTCGGTGCGCTTTGCAGCTTCTCCTTCTCCCCTTGCAGCCGCTTGCTGATGCGCTGCCAGCGAGCACGGCCTGCAAGCTGAAACCCAGGTCTGGCACTCCCTTCCGCAAACAGTTTTTTAAGTATACCTATAACATCCGCCGGCGCATTTTTCTGCCGCCGAGACTTGTGGCCGTTTTTTCCGCCGTAAGCACAAGAAAGCGCCGCAAGCAAAAAAAAACGCCGCCAAGCCATATGACCCATGACAGCAAAGTTATCTCAAAGTACTGTTGGATCTGGCTATATCGATACATGATCTTTGAAGCTACCACACAGCTTCTGCCAGTACCAAAACATAGATTGCTACTTCGATCAAAGCAAAAAGTAAGGATGCCTCGTAGAAAGCCCCGGTGTACCTCATCAACCCCTCGTATAAGCCCTATCAACCCTTATAAACCTTATAAACAAACCCTATAAAACCCAAATGTTTCTTCAAAGCCCCGGTACACCTCTTCCAAGAGCTCGCATGTGCCATCGTTTTCACGGTGCAGTGCGACTTTGCGTCCGAGGCTGAGCGGTGCTGCTTCGGAGTTCAGGTTGCACCCCCCCAAAATGCGAAACCTCAACTCTTATAAGCCCTGAACCTTATAGACCCTTAAAGTTAAAGGAAACTACAGGTGGGGAGTTTAGGGTATATAGGGCTTCTATAAGGCTTCGATATAAGCCTTCCATAAGGCTCCTTGATGGTAACTGCCCACCTGAAAATGTCCTAGACTTGAAGGAACCCTTGCAGGAAGCAGGTTCGGATTTTGAGGTCTTGGCTGGGGTTGGATATGCTTCGATAGCGGATTCGGAGAATCGGGGCTGCCCTCACCCAAAACCAAAGAAACTCTACCCTTGTCTCAGGGCTTAGGGTTTAGGGTTTATAAGGTCACCTTAAGATTGAGAGTTTGATCGCCGAAAGGCTGTTACCCTAATACCTATCTCCCCACCCAAACCTAAAACTTCAGCCCCAAACCCCTAAACCCTAAACGCCTCTTTTAGGAGGTAGGATTCGGGGCACCCTTGGAGGTTTAGACCCTCTCAATAAGGTCCCTTTTAAGAGAGCCATAAGGCAGGGTTCAGAAGGGTCCCTTCACAGTTCTCCCTAACACTAAAGTCGATGAGATAAATCCTGTATATATATATATATAGAATAGACCATATAATTCCCATAGTTTAGGGTCCTTAAGCAGAATTTATACCATCAGCCGTACCTAGGAGCTTTGGGGGGGGCCTTACTTGGCCGATGCACACCTTCATCTATAGAGCACTGCTGCAATGTATAGACAGTCGAGGTATATGGCAGTGAAGCCCAAATGCATTAGGTGGGGATTCCCTTTTTAAGATACTATACTTATATAAGGTATGGGATATGTATACTCTAGAGCTGGGAATAAACATAGGTGAGTGTAGAGAGTCATCTGTGTTTATGTTTGATACATTACAAAGAAATCCCATGACGATGGAAAGACACGACGACTATGTTGACGACAGAACAACGACAACGACGACACATGGTAAGGATAAAGTAGCAACGACGACAACGATGACGATGCCTCTGAAGCTATCAGGGCTGTAAGAAAACTATTTTGCAGTGCTCTATTTGCCATGACGATGCCTCTCGTACAGCCTCTTGTGCTTCAAATGCAACCGCTGCACGACTCTGTAATCACAGTGCCGAACATTTACACGTCTGCTAAGGCGTGAAACCCTGCCGATGTAATCTTCGTTGACGTCACATGCAAAGCACTGTGGTGACAAAGTCAAAATATGCCCTTGCTCCAGCTGCATTTTGAGTTCATGTGCAATGTGGTGTAATGCATGGAGCTTCGGCTTCATGACGAAGCACCGAACATGCGCCCAAGTTGTTTGAAGCCTCGTAAAAAGCGCATGAAGGAAACGTAAAGCCGTGTAGCACAATCTCTTTCGAGAAAAAGCTTGTGGCTGTTCATAATGTGAAACATTTCTCGAATGGACGAGCAGCACTGCAACATAATGTTGAGGATACCTTCGAAACCTGGGACCCTTGGAGTCTGGAGTTGCAGCGCCACAAACCACTCAAGCCATTTCACAAGCAGCATGCTGTCCGAAGCTTTGGAATTTGTCCAAGGGCTGCTGAGGAAGTTCTTCAAGTGTAGGAACTTCGTTGTGAAACCCCGAAGTGCAGGATGCATCTTGTTCACGGCACAAAACAGCACAAAGTTACTGTGCGCTCTTACTAACCGATCGTCGATGTTTCTAGTACATCCTGGAAAATCAAAAAACTGCTTGCGAGCTAGAAGGACAATGCAGCCACCAATGAGATCCCGAGCCAAGCCTAGTTTGACGACGTGGAAAACATCTGCCTTCAGGGTCCTCTCGGGTGTTTGGGGGTCATACGGTATGCCAGCTAGGGCGGGCTCTGGGTTACCCCATGGGCGACTGCTGTACATTGTCGCCTCCCAGTGAGGTCTCTCACGAAGATCCTCGAAGGGGAACTGGCTGTCCTGGCCTGTGGAGGCCATGCACTGATGGCAGAGAGATCCTGAACCTGCTCTTGTCTGCACATTGCTGTAGGAGCGGAGTAGGCCGAAATACTTCTGGTGAAACTCCATATCACCCTTTGTCCCTATGACTGCCCCATAGTAAACCCGATTTCCTACACCTACTCCTTCCTCTAGCAGCAAGCGGAAATCCTCTGCCACTCGCTCGAAGAGCACTGCCGTCACATGTGGATTTTTCTTGTAAACCCACCCCCCCAGTCCGAAAAGAAGAAATCTGGATAGGTAGGAGTGACCCTTAAAATTTGTAGTCATGCCACGGCAGATCTCCAAAGACTTTGCATCAAGTAGCTTGTGGTTTGGCACACCATAGGTCGGAAGGTCTGGGCGTGCAGCCAGAACAGCAGAGCAATCACAAGCAGGACCCCTGTGTGGTAGAATCCCGATAGGAGACTCCATTGAGAGAATCAGGTATGCAGTCTTCTTGATGGAACGACCCTCGTCCCCATGAATCAGCAAGGGAACCACCTGTGATAAGTTCGTGGCATGTCGGGTAAACACGACATGGGAGGGATGACTACATTTGTAGGCATCCCAAAATGCCTGGAAAGCCTCCCCCACCTTATCACATGTGCCAGCTAGCAAGTCTGGGGCAGTAGAAAGCAAGTGTTGCAACCAGGATTGGGGTCGGATGCGGTGTGTCGTAATTGTTTGCTGCACTCCTTGAACAACTTTGTGCTCTTGGCTTTCAACACCTATCGGTAGAGTGTGGCCTTCTCGCTCGAATAAGCGCTCACAAGTCCTCTGGGCATTGCTTACTTCTGAAGCACTTGCCTCACGACCCTCCGCCGCGGCGAGGGTGCGCACAACACGTACGGCTTCGGCCTGGGAGCCAAGGAAGGGTTATAGAGCTGGGTTTATATATAGGGTTTATATATAAAGGGATTTACATATAGGGGGTATAGGTGTAGGGTTCTGGGTTCTGGGTGTATAGGGGTTTAGGGTTTTTTTTCCCACCCCCTTCGCTGACTAGGGTTTAGGGTTTATAGGGCTCTGGCTTTAGGGTTTGTAGGGGTTTTTAGTAGGCTGGATTTGGGGTTCTTGGAAAAGGGGTGTACTCAAACCCTTACTATAGACTGTACTGTGCTTTGCACCCAGGACACCTCGGGGCGAAAGATCTGTAAGCTTACATGAAGAGTACTCGGCTTAATTCAGGGCTATATAGATGTGTACACAAGCACCTCCAAGAGGTGGTCATGGTTTTGGAACATGGCAACATCGAGGACATTGAGCCACCAGAAGACATCCTACAACACGTCAGAGAGCTCCCCAAATCGAGCTTGGCAGCGTACACTGGCGATGCGGCAACTGTGGGTTGACACATTCGACAGACCGTCTCAACCACAGTCACTGTTGCAATCTCTGCCACAGTCGCTATCAGCCGCTATCACAAACCCTTGAAGGGTCTACGAGTCTACGATGACAATGGATCGACTTTTGGGGCACTCCCCCAAACTATCGGGGCTCCCCCCCACACCATCCCCCCCTGCTACTGAACCTTTCCTATCTCCAAGCAACATCTTAAGTGCAGCTGAACACAAGCCTGGATACCAAAGCTAGAACTGTAAGGTGCTGGAAATGATGATGTTATGATGCCGATGATAGGAAGGGTTTCAGCCCCATGATGTAGACACCTTTATAGCAATGAGATAGGGTCTAGCTTGGTTTAGACTGATGATGGAAGTATAGTCCACATAGCTATCGGTGCAATCGGCAAGAGCACTTGTCTAGGTTTTGGTTACTCTACATGAAGATTGAATCTTTGTAGATTTGAGGCTACCAAAGTTGCTCGGATTTGGTCAAGGCTGTAGGATCTGAGGGTCTAGGGTGTAGCTCAACTTATTAATGGTAGACCCCACGACGAATCAGTACATACTGGCACTGCCTCTGTTACGATGATGACACCTTCTTATACTTCTATAAAAAAACCCTGGTGTGACTACTGCTACTGCTACTGCGACTTCACACCCGTGCTTCTTCACCATCTACCCCTTTTGGCACCACCTGGGCTTCAGCTTTTAAGGCTTCGGTTTTATAGGTGGGTTTTTGCCTTAAGAGTTCTTCTTTAAACTGTGTATATGAGCTCATAGATATACACAATATATGATATACGATATGGCTTGGGTTTGTATTAAACAACTTTCGATCGATATTGGAGGAGGTTTCTGGGTATTGAGGCTTTTGGGAACAGCAGAGGCAGCCTTAGACAGGAGGCTTTACTTTGGTTTCTGCTTTAGTATAAGCTAATTTGTGATTGGGCCAATGTCGGCAGGGTATCAGTCTCGAAATCTTGGCAATCCCCGATCCCAAACTGTATTAAAAAAACCCTGACACCGAAACAATTATGCTTATAAACCTCGAACCCACTTCATCCTTGGAGTTTCCAACTCAAGACATGTGACAGGGCCCCCCACTCCATCCCCCATGCTCTCTGCAAGGTAGCCGACCAGGTGCTGGTTCTCAGTACCTCCCAGCAAAGAACAAATAGTGCTAAGACCCACAAATCTGTTGCCGGACTTGCTTGCAGCAATGAATCAAACAGTGCACCAGCAGTGAAGCTACACTTTTCCCTGATCCCCCAAGCTCGATGACGCTTGACATGTGGTAATCCACAGGCACAGCGAGCAAATTAACATCAGCCAGCAACACTGCTGCATGTGCTAGCTGCTAAAACAGATCCATCGAAGCCAGAGCAAGCTTCAAAAGTAGGGGGAGTTAAACTCAGTGCAAGCTTTCAGTGCACATAAATCAGTCATCACTGCGCGGGCGCTTCTTTGAGGCAGCCTTCGGCACAACCTTTGCTTTGGCCTTAGCCTTAGCCACTCCTTTTGGTGCCTTCTTGGGGGAAGCCTTGGGTCGGGGGCTCCTTTTCGGAGTGGGCTTGCCCTTGCCCACAGCAGCAGGTGCCACAGACCTAGGAGACATGTACCATGTAAAGGACCCATGGGATGCCAGGTAAAAAGACATAAGTCCATGGCTTGGCTCTGACGAAGAGACTCAAGGCTTCGACGACCCTGAGTGATTCAACACTTCGAGAACACACACAAGTACACAAGTATGTATTTGGGGTCCTTGAGCGGGACTCGTCGAGCTTCTCCTCAGCCTTCTTCTGCATCCTTGTTTCACAATGGAACTCCACAAGGGGTTTAGGGTTTAGGGTTGTAGGGTTTAGGGTTTGTGCCCAAGTCTACTATGATGTACTCTGATACTATGAGGATCTGACATGTGCTGAATCAAGGCTCAACCGAGTAAAGCCATGCAATACTCCATGATCACGGATTTCCGCAAGCTCGTCGGCAAGGGTGTTGAGGGTCAACGTGAGATTCTCGAGCTTGATGTGCATCCTGGGCAATGGTTGTGGAAAGGCTTCATCATGGGTAGTTTTTAGAAGCTGCTAGCTAAATGGTGGTAGTAGTACTTGTTGTTGTAGTTATATAATACTAGTATAGTACTACTATACTCTTAGTACTACTAGCACGACGACGACGACGACCACTACTACTACTACTACTACTACTACTACTACTACTCTACTATACTGAAATTATTGCTCCGATCTGTAGACAACAAGTACCATTTCTATATAGAATAGTGCTACTTCTACTACACCACGACCACCCCCACCGCCAGGACTACTACTACTACTACTACTACTACTATTACTACTAACTACTATACTACTACTACTACTACTATTATTATTATTATACTACTACTACTACTACTACTACTATACTACTACTACTGCTACTCCTACTACTACTACTACTACTACGACAACTACTGCTATTGCTACTGCTGCTTGTACTTCTACTGCTACTTCTACTGCTACTGCTACTGCTACTGCTACTGCTACTGCTGCTGCTGCTACTGCTACCACTACTTCTACTACTATAGCACTAATATATAAGAGTATTATTTTTAGTGCTGCAGCTGCTACTACTACTACTACTACTGCTACCACAACTGCCACTCCTCCTACTACTGCCACTCACCTGACCGAGGTGTACATGTGTGGATCCTGGAGCCCTTCACTTGAGGCTCCCGCTTTTCTTGCAGTTTGGTTTTCTGCTCGACTTGTTCAAAGCGTGGAAGGAGGTCATCCAACTTCTTAGCTTGTTTCTCGACACAGGTGATAGCTGCAGGGAGCATGCCAGACGGCGACACGTCCTTTTGTACCTCCGGAAACCCAGACTTCGAGAGGTAGTCCTTGCAATCAGTCATGTCCACAGGCTCCTCCACTTCATCTGCATCTGCAGTGGCTTGTCCGGGACCTGGGATGAGGATCAGATCTCATTGAACATGGGAAACACTTGGAGTTGTCCTTGGTGGGATTTATATTGTTTGATCTGTTACAACAAAATTGGCTTACAAGGAGCGGTCGATCAGAGAGGGTTTGTAAGGTTCGTAGCTTCATGGGGAGTGAAGTTGCTGGGCTTTGGCTCTGGGGATGGGTTTATATAACTTTTGGTTTTGAGATATGTTAGTGCTTCAAGCAGAGGGGTCTACACTATTGTTTTATCTGTTGCATACCTGGGGACCTTCATCATCAAGCATGGACCAGGACTTGCTACGATCCGGCAGATCCATCTTATCACTTGCTTCTTCCTCCCAATCAACCATTTCCTCGAAGACGCTCTTCTTTGTCTTCCTCTGATTGAAGTCCATAGGGTTTTGGGGGTTTAGGGTTTAGGGATAGGGTTTATAGGGGTTTAGGGTTTAGGGTTTATAGAGAGGAAACTGTATATGGAATCATGATTGGCTATAAAGGAATCTCCAAGGCTCGACAAGGACCCTTTGATGCGGGTGTCTGGCCAATACATCGTCCCATCTCCATACTTGGACTCCCTGGCTTCATGTTTATCATAGGTTGTTGGATCGAAAGACACAATAGATTCTAACGAAAACACGACGGGCTTGCCGCTGCAGCTTCGGAAACTTCTTGCAGTAGCGCTTGATACCGGCGATACGTGTCCTGAGGCAGTTTGTGCATTGTGCTACACCACTACGTTTAGGGTTTATAGGGTTTATAATATAGGGTTTATCTATAGGGTTTATAGGACCACTGTAGAAGGTTCTGTGCCCTGCATGAAATTGCCTACCAGGGGGCTCTGGGAAGTTGCGCTCGCGCATCTCGAGTTCAGTGAGAAACTCTCCTTCAACCACCAAATTTTCCTCTGAGATTTCTTGCGTGATCTGTTTGCATCTTCGGACAAACTTCGCCTCGGATCGAGAGTAATTATAAAGTAGAAAATTAGGTACACGTAGCAACATGAAAGCATAGTAGCCGGATCATATGCAGCCCGTTCAAAAAGTCCCTGGATTCGCTCACGTCCTCCCAGAAGACGATCCTCATACTGAGCTCTGACTTCCTCAGACACGAGGTAGGATCCATTTGCACGCGGTTTCATCACTCGAGCCAGGCGGGCATCGACAGCCGCTTGGCTGATGGGTGCTGGTGGCACCGAGATTGGAGGCACAACCGGGCCACACGACCTTTTCAGGTCCTCATCTTCATGAGTCAAAGCACCGTAACCTTCATCTCGGGCTGGTGGGGTATC